TATTTTGAAACTACATATATATATATATATATATATATATGTAGTTTCAAAAGTTAGATATAGCTGACTTCTTTCATTTAGAGTGTTTTCAAGGTTCATCCAGGTTGTAGCATGTATCAGTATTTCATCTTTCTTTTTATGGCTGAATAATAATCCATTGCATGGCTTTAGCGCATTTTGTTTATTCTTTTATCAGTTGATAGTCATTGCCATTTTTTGGCTATTGTGAATAGTGCTGCTATTAACATTCGTGTACAAATTTTTGACACAAAAGACTGCCTATTGTATGTTTCCATTCATATAAAATGTTGAAAATACACAAATCTATATAGACAGAAAACAGACTAATGATTGCTAGGGGCTGGTGAAAGTGAGATTTGATAGTGACTTTTTAATGGGTACAGGGTCTCTTTAGGGTGACAAAAATGTTCTGGAACTGGATGATGGTGATAGTTGCACAACCTTCTGATTGTAATATACATCACCAATGGTAAATTTTATGTTATGTGTATTTTACCACAACAAAAAATAGTAAGAAGTGAAAAATGTCAAATATATATAAAGAGGAAAATGTATCATCTCCCTTTCCTCTATTCTCACTCCTGAGGTAACCAATGTTTAACAGCCTAGACTGCTTTGTTAATGTTCGATTTTATAAATTAAGATCATATAATAGATATTACTTATCAATTTGCTTTCACTAGATAGCATTTTGTGGACATATTTTTTAGGTCAGTAGGTTCAAATCAAATTATTTCTTTTTTAGGACAGCAGCATTTTTTTTTTTTAATGTGTAGGTATTTTGACACATATACAATTCCTTCTCTGATACGCCATCCGATTTTCTTCCTTATTTTCCCAACCACTTATTTTGCAAAAATAAATGTCTTTGTAGATAGTCTCATGGAACGGTTCTTTAATTTCTGCTAATTGATTCCCAAAAGAAAGATTTATGTGTCAAATGACATCAGAGAAATGTATATTTGTAATTTTAGCAGTTGTCACCAAGTGTTCAGGTTTGTTTGTTTTTAACCCAGCAATCCATACATTCATCAGCAATACATGAAAATATCCCTTATTATTCTTTTAAATTTTGATCAATCTGATGGGCAAAAATGGGGTTTGTATTATAATAGGTAGTTTTCTGGCCATTTATGAGGTTAAATATTTCTCATAGGTTTATTTGTTATTAGGTATTATTTTACTCTAGAAATTGCCTATTTAGTTTCCCTGGCCAGTATTTTTTTTCCTATTGAACCATTTCAATGTATAGGAGTTCTTTATATATTAGAGATATCAAAAATTTTCCCAGATATGTACTGCAAATATTTACTTAGCTATTATTTCCCTTTTATTTTGTATGTGAATTCTATTTGAATAAACATAAGATATGTTTGTTTTTTAATCAGCTGTATTGGGGACTAAGTTACATTTAAATGTATAATTCAATTAGTTCTCACAAATATATATAGCTATACAACTACCACCACAGTCATGATAGAGCATAATCTCCATCATCCCCCAAAGTTTACTCATACTTCTTTACCACAAATCCCCTCACTCCTAACCCTGAACTCTGGAAACCACTGATCTGCTTTCTAGAACTATAATTTTTCCTTTTCAGAAATTTCAGATAAATTGAATTATACAGTGTATAGCCTTTTGTGTCTGGTTACTTTAGCCCAGTGGTTCTCAATTAGGGATGGTTCTGCCTCCCAGGGAACATTTGGCAATGCTTGGAAACATTTTGGATTGTCATGGCTTAGATAGGTGAAAAGTGCTGCTGGCATCTAATGAGTAGAGGCCAAGGCTGCTGTATAACTTTTTCAATGCACAGGACAACCTCCTACAACAATTATCTGCTCCAAAATGACAATAGTGCTGAGAATGAGAAAACTTGATTAGTGTAAAGCTTTTGACATTCATTCACGTTTTTGCATGTATCAGTACATTATTCCTTTTAATATTTGAGTAGTACTTAATTATATGGGTATATGACAATTTATCCATTTACCAGTTGAGGGATATTTATTTTTTTCTTCTTTTGGACTATGATGAACAAAGTTTTATGAAAATTCATGTATAGATCTTTTTTTGGACTTATATCTTTATTTCCTTTGGGTAAATATCTAAGAGAAATTTTCTGAGTTATATGGTAATCCTATGTTTCACTTTATGAAAATTGCCAAGCTGTTTTCCAAAGTGGCCATACCATTTTGCATTCCCATCAGCAGTATATGAGAGTTGCAATTGCATTCTGTTGTATTCTTCATACAATGTTTCCTTCCAGTCAGTGGCATACCTTTTCATTTACTTAATGGTCACTCTCCAAAGAGAAAAAGTTTTAAATTTTGATTTAGTCCAAGTTATCAATTTTTCAAATGTTTTTTGTCTTTTCTTAAAAAATTTTTCCTAAGTTACGAATATCCAATTGGTCTAACAAAGAATAATTGTTCTTTGTTGAAAAGGGTATTCATTCCTACTGAATTATTTTGGCAGCTTTGTTGAAGATCACTTACTGTATTTGTGTATTTCTTCTGGACCCTCCATTCTGTTACATTCATGTGCTTGTCTACCCTTAAATAAACACCACACTGTGTTGACTACTACAGCTTTATGTGAATGTTGAAAACAGTGTGAGCCTAACAGATGTATTCTTCTAACAAATTGTTTTGATGATTTTAGATCCAAAAATAAATTTTTATGTGCAAAAATGTGTTTTACTATCCATAAGCATAGCCTGCACACCAACCCTATCCCTTTATCTGGGACCCAAGCAGAGGGAAAAGGAGCAATGGTGGAATCACACATTGAATCTTAAAACTTCTGCTCATATTGCATTGAATAAAGCAAGTCATGTATCTAAGACTTTGGTAAATAAAGTTGGAATTATACTTCTCCCACAGCAATAGAGGGTCCCTGAAATGATGGGCCAGGTAGAAAAAAATAGCCAATTTTGATTTAAAAATGCAATCTACCATAGGAGCTGCCCCTGGATAATAATTATATTGTTATTATTTGATAAATAAATAATTCATAGCGACAGAGTTACTTGGAGTTCTTATTTTGTCAATCACAATCACATTGCCAGTACCTTAGTCAAAATGATCTCTTTACAACTATTTCGTTTAATAATCTTGTGCTGTTAACTTCTCCCTTCTCCAAACCATCTGGATAAATCTTTACAAAATATTATTGTCACGTCATCATAACTCTGCCTGCAATCTTAAATGGCTCTTTGTAGTTCTTCACATCAAGTTATATTTTAGAGTGGCATTTTGTTCTTCTAATCTGCTAACTGAATACTTACTCCTGCAAATAAATTGCACTGTTTTCTTCCCCACATACACTGTTTTTTTTCCTGACAATCAAAATTTCAATTTTCATTCTAGGTCAAGTTCATGACATTTTTCTGCTGTGAAAACACTTTCATGATTAAGTAAGCACATTATACATTTTCCTTTATCTAAAATCCAGTTCATTCATGATCTCTGAGAATTGGCTGAACACTAGGTTTATTTGGCTGCACTTTTTTCTCCAATTGTTTCATTTATTTATGACTGTTCAATATCTCCAAGGAAACTATAAATTACTTGAAGCAGAAGTGAAGGTTTTTGGATTTTATTCTCCAGTGCCTCTGGGACAGGACTAGATAACCAAATGCTTGCTAAAATTCATTGATACTTCCTGCTACCTCTTAAATGATAGCTTTCCCAAGTTCTATTCCCTGAATCTTTCAGGTCCAGGTAAAAACAAACATTGCAAATTCCCATAAGCCTCTTGAAATATCTTCCTATTGTGAACCAAATAATACCATCTTTGTTGTTTAATAAATCCCATTGCAAGAGGATTTCTTGGTCAATTCCCAAGTCCCTACAACATCCATTTTATCTACAGCTGCTAAACAACTAATGACTCAACTAGGTCATTTATTTAGACTTAGAATTACCTCTGATATGCTCTCTGTCAGAGCCTACTTAACACTCCAAATAGTCTAAAGCCCTGATTCTGCTACAGATCTGGTAAGCAAAAGTGTTTTACAAATTAATTCTACTGAAAGTTTGTAAATGTCTGCCTTTCCTACTTCCATCCCCTAACCCCTATTCCATGTAGCTGAGATGAAGAACACAGTTTATGTATGTTGGCAAATATGAAGGGAGATTTCAAACAGGATGTGACTAAAGAGATTGATCTTTGAGCTCTTTTCCATAAAAGTGATGTGAAACATTCTTTAGGAGACAGCAGTCAAATTTTAAGTCAAAGAATTGTAAGTATTTGTAGGAAGAACAGACTCATATTTTAACAAAAAAGAAATTAAGAAGAAAAGAAGTTAAATGCTTTTCCCTGGGCTGTATGGCTATGTTGTAGTAAAACTTGATAATAAATCAGTCTTCTTCCACTGGCTAAGTATCAGCAAAACTAATTTTCTCTGTGTTTCTGATGGGTTTCAATGAGATAACTTTTATCTGTGAATATCTTAATGATTCTTTTCTGGAAATTTACAGGAGTTCTGCAACTGTTCATTGAAATCTGTCTATAATGTTGCTTAAGAGCCCATGTCACTTATACGTGATAGAATTTTTATATGTTCTTTCAATAAAGATATCCTTATTGATGAATTCTAAGTGACTAAATGTGTGTGTGTGTGTGTGTGTGTTTAACACATTGTCAACCCAGAGTAAGTGCTTACTTAATGTTGACTACTATCTTTAGAATTATATAAACAAATGGATGTACAAATAAGTACATGAGGACATCTGTTCAGGATGCTACAATCTCAATTTGATTGTCATTTAGTACCAGAAAGGAAAGTGTTGTTTTGAACATCCATGATTTATGTGGCATTTCATTATGATCTCAATATCCTATAATTATCTTTCAAACCAATATGCCACTTGAGGATGGAAAGAATGGTAAACATAAGTTTTCATAGAGGAAATAAAATCTATGAAAGTAGATTCTTGTAAACGGAATTTTTTCTTCAATAGAATCATACTTTCTCTTGATTTTTTTTTCCTTTGATACAGGCGTCCACATATCAATCAGGACAATGGATGTGGCTAATGTGTCAACTGTTTCTGAATTTGTTTTGCTGGGACTATCTAATTCCTGGGAGCTCCGGATGTTTTCCTTCATAGTATTCTCAATGTTTTATGTGGCAACAATGGTGGGTAATAGCCTCATAGTCATCACAGTTATAGCCAACTCTCACCTACACTCTCCTATGTATTTCCTGCTTACCAATCTTTCCATCATTGACATGTCTCTTGCTTCCTTTGCCACCCCTAAGATGATTACAGACTACCTCACTGGACACAGAACCATCTCCTTTGATGGTTGCATCACCCAGATATTTTTTCTACACCTATTTACTGGGACTGAGATCATTTTACTTATGGCTATGTCCTTTGATAGGTATATTGCAATATGCAAGCCTCTCCGCTACACTTCAATCATAAGTCCCCGAGTGTGTGCTGCTCTTGTGGTGGCTTCCTGGGTTGTGGGAGTCATGCATTCAATGAGCCAGGTCATATTTGCTCTCGCATTACCATTCTGTGGTCCCAATGAAGTAGACAGCTTTTTCTGCGACCTTCCTGTGGTATTCCAGCTGGCTTGTGTGGATACTTATGTCCTGGGTCTCTTTATGATCTCAACAAGTGGTATAATCGCCTTGTCCTGCTTTATTCTTTTATTCAGTTCTTATGTTGTTGTCCTGGTTAGTATCAAGCATCATGCTTCGAGAGGATCGTCTAAGGCTCTTTCTACCTGCACAGCTCATTTCATTGTTGTCTTCATGTTCTTTGGGCCATGCATCTTCATCTATATGTGGCCACTCAGCAGTTTTCTGGTAGACAAGATCCTGTCTGTGTTTTATACCATCTTTACTCCCATTCTGAACCCAGTAATCTATACCTTGAGGAATCAAGAAGTGAAGACAGCCATGAGGAAACTGAAGAAAAGGATTTTAAATTCCAACAAGGCAACTCCTTCACATTATTTATAGTTATACCTTCTAGTTATAGATAACTTCTAGCTTTAACTTCCTAGGCATTAAGTGCCACAGGTTTTGTGTACACAGCACTGGTTTCAGTGCTGTGCTAGGATCTTATTTCTGGAGTTCTTACCACATTGTAATTGCCAAAATTTGTGAGGGAACAGATAATTTCACATTAAAACTAGTCTCAGGCATATGTTTAAAATAGATTTTAAATTTCAGAAAAGCAAGCTGGCAGAAACAATTTTGTCCCGGGAAAAAAGAAGATCTATAAGAATGCCAAGAACGACTGCCCCAGTTAGGAAATTCAATATTAGTATTCCATTCATTGGAAAAGAGGAATGAAAAATGAGAAGAGAAAGTATAGATTAAGCAGAACTGGAGATAATGACAGTTACATACAACTAGCAGCTGAGTTACTCGGAAAGTTGTCCCTGAAGTATGACAAATTAGCAAGATTGCTATAAACCTTAGAAACTCCCTACTGCTGTAGGAGTAGCTCTGACAGCTAGACAATGATTTTCTACATGTATCTCTGAGTCATTCGTACTTAACATTTAAACCAATTTGTGATCTCTTCTATTAAAGAAAACCCTGGATGTACTTCATACAAGTGTTGATGAGGTCCAAAGAGAATGCTGTAAGTAGAGGAGTCTCCACCAGTCGCTTTGGCTAATAAGCAAAGAAATACAGCCATGATAACCCCTTCTGATAATGCAAAGTGAATAAAGAGGCTGGGGAAGTCTGCAAATCAGAAAGCGTTATGAAGTAAACTTCAAAGCAGTATACTTTGTTTCATAGAGATACTATGTCAGCTTAATGCCTGGAATGTTAAAACTAGAATTAAATTAGGAAATACAGTTAATGACAAGTGAATTTGTGGCAAGCCTATGCTTTCATTTCAAAGTATTCTATTGCTTCACACTTTGGTTAAATTACTTTTTCCTTTTAATATTTGGATGCAAAAATAAGAAATGTGTGCTTAGTAATACACTGTCAATGTAATGTGTGTTTCTGTATACAAATAAGTATTTTTACAGTTTTAAGTAAGAATGCTAGGTTCAAAATTACCTTTAAGTTACACAAGGTATCACCACCACCTACTGGTAGTACAGGAATTGCAAGCATTCAAGATCATGTATAATCATTCTCCTGGGTGCTTTGCTTTGCCAATCTTCTTCTTTAAATCATGGCAAACATTAAAGAAGTAACTATTATTTGGAATTTACTAAATGATTTTTATGAAATATAGTGTCCAGTATAGCATCCGACTTGTATCCACGAGAGGAAAGATCTATTGCAACCACAGTATTTGATAAATATCAAGTTGTTATTCTTTTCCGGCATTATTGAGTACACAGAGAAAACTAAGAATTATATTTGCACTAATTATCATTGATGAGAGAGAAGTTAAGAAAAAGATATTCCTGACTTTTCATTTTAAGCAAAATGGTAAGAAGAATGTGTTTTTTCTCCATCAACGTGTGCTTTTTATTTTCTTCATTAATGTATTAAACAAACAAGGAAAAATTTTATGGTTTAAAAGTGTGAGATATTATGTTTAAAACGTAGACAGATTTGAAGTTGGATAAAAATGTCTACAGCATTAACATGAGAATTAAACATCCTTATATCCATAAAATAATGACATAATTCTATTGAAATAGGGATACAGACGGACCAATTTAGGTTGTGTGTTTGAACTTTCTCTTGGTTTCAGTTACATATGCAAATATTTTCAGGATCAAGGAATTTATTTATGTAGAAAATGTTTAGCTGATGTATTAGAAATACGCCAAATAATTCTTTCAAATGTTTATTTGAACAGAAAATATTTTTTTAAATTATATGTATATTGTTTTGCAATATAAAAGTGTCAAGTCTTTTTAAAGGGATGCCATCAATCTTCAGTGCTTGTGTGGAGAGTTCTAAAACTCAAGGACATTTATTTGCCAAAACCCTCAAAGGTGTAACTGATCAGCAGATGACTCTGTAAGGCAAGTCAATAATGGGATTGCATAGTTAGAACAATAGTAAGACTCTGTAGCTGAGAATGAAAAGGACCATAGACAGCCTCTGGAAGACTTCCATAGATGAAGGGAAGTACCAACTACCTTCCCTGACAGAGAATGGGGAGTCAACATACAAGATATGTCTACATATTAAATAAACACTTAAATCTTAATTAGGAGCTATAGATGGTTGATTTTGTCACCATAGCCCCTCAACATGCTGTTGATACTCTTATCAAGGGTGAGTGCAGGGATGTGGCCAAAGGCTCCTAAAGCAGCAGTAAGATGGTGCTATTTGCCACTAAGGTAGCTAAAGGCAGAATAATGTTTTGAAAAACATGCAAGATGGACAAAAACCAGCTAATACAAATGTACCAGGTCAGGGATAGCTTTAAATGGTCTAAATTTCCATTAAGACAATTGTAGGAGTATTGAGATATGGAGAATTTACAAGATGACTATGTTGACAAGCAACTTCATCTTCTTTCAGGTGTTTGAAGACCCATGAAGTTTGGCAATGCCAAATCTATGAGCTTTCAAAAATTGTAAAAAGTTGTCTTGTAAAATTAATCACAGTGATTGCAGATGAAAAAAATATTAAAAATCAGGTATAGATAAAAACAGATAAAATGTAAATTGTAATATGTGAACCAATTGGATATGTGTAAAGGCAATAAAAACTGTGAATTATGTATACTTCCAAAAATATTTGAAGGAGACTTCAGAATGCTATTTGGAGTGACGATGGTGGATTTATATTGAAGCCTAAGTTTCATACCTCTTCCTTGCAGGGTTTTCCTCCAAAACCTTGGAATGGACACTACTAACATTTATTTATTATGTTTACTTTTTTTCTTAAGAAACTTCCCTCAGATTGTATAACTTTAGGCTCTGCACAAGCTGAACCCACCCTGGGTGCAGGAGTAAAAGTCTTAGGTTCATGCATCTTTTCCCTAGTGTTTAATGTCAGTTCTACCATTTGTTAGTGGTGTAAACTTGGATAAGAAACTTATTATCTCTTAACCTCAGTTTCTACACCTATGAAAGGAGATAATAATGGTATCTACATTGCAGTGTTGTTTGAGGAATAAAATAGTTATTCATATGAAGTACATAATATATGTTCAATAAGCGCTGGTTATTTTATTATTATCTGATCAACTCTGGATATCTTTGTGTAAGGGGCTTGGTATTTTCCTGAGCTGCTGATTGACATGTTTAATTTGAAAGGTAAATTTTTATTTTATAAATTTTGAATATTCGAGTCTTCATAGTGTGCATAAAATTAATGTGTATCAGGATTAATTTGGAAAATTAAAAGTAAGTTCGAGTAGAAAACTGCTTTGGTTCTTATATTAATCCAAGCTTCTAGAAACTTGTTTTTCTCACTGCTCATAATTTTTGTAGATCAAGAGAAATTCCAAATTGTTGTTTAGTCAGTATGTGATTGCTTTTTACAATGAGTAATTTTTAAATTGATTTATTGATTTTAGAATGGATTTTCACTAGAGTTTTGGTCAGAATATGAAGGATGATGTTTGACCCTCCATGTTATTAAGGTGAAGACATAGATAGATGCATATACTCGTAACTAGTTACTTAGATAGATAAGTAAAATTTCATATGATACCAACTTTCTTATGTGAAATATTTTTCTACATTGATAAGGACCTGGTATAATGTGATCACTGGACTCTGCTGCCAAATGGAAGAAGTTCTTGGTAGATGCCATCATTTGAACATATTCAGACTCTTTATGGAAGTGTTTTCAAACTTTAAAAATTACCTACGAAACCCTGCTTTTCAAATGAACATTTGGACAAAAATGTCAAAGCAAAATTGACAAGAGGCTGGAATAAGCTTCTTCTCTCCCTGTGTATTCCCTGTCATTATTTTGCCTGGTGATTTTTGGATACATGTACTCAGATTGAAAAATAGAGGAAAAACAGCCATGGAAGTCTAATTCACGTGAACTTCTTTGCATGTACTCTCAGACTTCAGTGAAATCCACCAAGCAATCTGATAGTCTTCCAGTTTACATGCTTCTGTTATGATGATCAATTTGTAAAGGTCACAGGACTTTTTTGTTGTGAATTATTTTTAGTCCTATTGGTCATACCTGTGAGGTAAATAGGTACAACTTACGCTGGAGTTAAAAGGACAAACATCCAAATGAGATTGAATTTGTGACTTGGATCATGGGTTAACATAATATTTCTGTAAGGTTGCTAGTATAATTTAAGTGACATTTTTATCTTTTTTAAAAAAATTTACCCTGGGCTAACACCTGTTACCAGCCTTCCTCTTTATTTTTCCTCCCCAGAGCCCTAGTACATGGTTGTATAACCTAGTTGTAAGTTTTTCTGGTTCTTCTATGTGAGCTGCTGCCACAGCACAGCAACTGACAGACAGATAATGTGGTTCCGTGACCAGGAAGTGACCTCAGGTGGCCGAAGTGGTGAGTGCTGAACTTTAACCACTAGGCCATCAGGGCTGGCTCCATTTTATCTTTTTTTCTGATTTTTTTGTTAAATAAATGAATAAACAAATAAATCCCAACATCTAGCAGGTGCTAAAATATCATGGCTGCACTTTTACTTTTTACTTTGATAATTTACACTGCTGATATAAGGAGAAGATGTATACCGATTTACATTTAACTCTCTTTCTAAAATTTACTTTTTTATTAAAGAAAGCATCTAGGCCAGGAGGCTCCAGGTTTTTTCCCCAGTAGCCTTTTCATGACTACTAATTGCAAGCCTGTTGTTAATTTGCCTAACTTTATTTTTTTGTCTTGTAACTCTGCTGGAACTCTGAAACCATCAATAAAACCTAGATTTCCCCCTTTTTTATCACTCACCGCCCCCCAAAGGAAATTTAAAGGAGAAAGTATATTTTAGACTGAGACTAGAAATAGCACTTAAATTCAGAATTTTTTACTTAATTATGTATCTATCTCTAATAATTTTTCTCTTGTCAGAGTATAAGTATATTGGTTGGCCTTCAGTGAAGAAAACAGAAACTACTGGTTGCATTAAACAGGTTTAACACAGTGCATTAGATGCTTACAAAATCACTGGAAGAGCAGGAGGAGTAGGAGGAGGCTGCTACTGGAGTTGTTGGGTTCCAGAATAGACTCCAGTAGTGAGATCTTAAGGTTAAAGAACCTCCATGATACTGACACTGCCTCGCTACCTTCAACACCCTTGTAGCTGGTGCATAGTCACTGGAGTACAGATCTGGCTGCCACAATCACTTCTCCCTCACATCTCATCCTCTTGCTCATTAGCAGTGATTACATCAGTACATGCCCTCTGCCACTCCCCCGTCTTCTAAAGCTCATGTTGGTGCACCTAATTGGTGGAACCTAATTTGCATAGGGAACCTTGACTAAAAAGAAGCAATTGTTAGATTTCAAGGTTTTTTTCTGCAATGGAAAACATCCTAAAGGAGGGTGGATTGGAGGCCGAATTGATCAATAATATCCATCATATTACTATTCATTTTTAATAGCCATAACCCTTTTATTGTAGAGTAAAACTAAGATAAAAAAATACGCAAAATGTATAGCTTAATGAAATATCATAAAGCAAACAACATTACAACCATATCTCAGGTTACGAAATAGAACTTTGCGAGTCATCTTTGAAGCCCTTGCATTTGTCCATCTCAATTACAACTCTCTTCCAAAATTAACTACTACCCTGACTTTATAGTAAGAAATTCTTTGCACTTTTTTACAATTTTATGTATGCATGTATACCCAAGTATACATCCTGAGACACTCAAATTTCATCTTGTCCACTTTATTCCCTTTTCTTTTAACCTACAAGTCTCCCTCTCACCATCCCTTCCATTTCTGTACAATTTATGTTTTGAGGAACTTGAGCTGTTTATCCTGCAGGATCTCCCACAGTTTGGAATATGCTGATTGCATGCATACAATATAATTCAACATGTACATCTTTCCTCTATATTTTCTGCAAATAAGTGATCCAGAGACTTGATCATATTTGGTTTAATACTTTTTGCAGGATAGGCTATAGATGGTGTTATGTTCTTTCATCTAGAGGAATTTGATAACTTGCTGTCTTTCTTTTTGGAGTGATAGTAACTATTGTTCAATATCACAGCTTGTAGTCAATGTCTTTAGTCGTTTTTGTTGTCTGAAACTTGTTTCCTCAGGAAGTCTTCTTGAGGACCACATTCCCTGAATTCTGGCATGTTGACAACAGTCTTTCTGGTTCTTTAAACCTGAAAGTCAGTTTTGCTGGAAATTCTTTGGCTATCTTTTTATTTCTTTGAGTATCTTAAATTTAAGTTAT